TTTTGTTTCTGCATACTTTCGATGCACTCAGAAAACACTCTTTTACGCTTACACTCTTCTCGTGGGCTTACACTATCGCATATTCGTCGAAAAACACTTACAAGTTACAATATATCACTGGATTGAATCGATGATACAAAAGTAAATGCTATTTCCATATCTTTTGTGGTTCGTTTGATCATGTACCGTGCTTCAGCGTGAAGAAGGCGCACAAATGCATGTTTACATCCCCATATCTGCCGCAGTCCGTTGTCCCTTCGATAATCACAGGCGGTGATGTAAAACACACGCTGTGGCTATTTCCCGCGGAAGCACCAGTACCTATCTGGTTCGCGAGATACACATGCTTCGATCAATTGAAACACGATCAAACGTACTTTTCATTTATTGCGTGGAAAATCGAATGAAATTTGGCGGGAGAAGTTCCGAACGTTTTCCAAAGAAATTCGCATCACTTTTGCGTTAACCCCCGGACACAAGGATCGTTCACTGCGACCCGCAGCTAATATTTTAATATAATATATACATTCGGTATAGACGTTTAGTCATTGCACGACCTTTCTCTTTTTTTAATTATAGTTTCGAATAGAGGCACATTGTCGACCAAGGTAATGTTATACTCGGGCCGAGGTGTCCGCGGATACCGAGAGTTAACAAGAAATCATTGGAATCAATCGAAACAGTCACGACGACCTGAGAGGCATTTTGGTATCGTGGAGATGAAAGCGACAGTTTCTGCGAATTCATTCAGGCAATTCATAATAGAGAGAAAACTAATACCTATGATGATAACAAGACAGGATCAGTTTGAGGCGAGAGGAAGAGTCCTTTCCGAAGAAGCAATAGGTTGAAATTTCTGATAAGATAACGGCTATATCGAATAGATCCAGGGACACAAGTCTTGATCTACAATCTTTGGAACTTAATCGAGAATTAATCGGGCCCAGATAAGTTTACAGGATGTTGAGAAAATAAGACCGGTATCTAATCGGTATCTACCGCTGGAATACTAACTGCGGTTTGTCCTTTCAGACTATTTAGAGCTTCATTGTTATGCAGGATCTCTCCATCACGCTGTTTAGATGAAATTTAGACTCTATAATTTCCTTCGGTACCATTCTGCAGCATGCCACTTACAAATTATCTCTACATTTAAACTCATTATTAGTGGCAGACTTTAAATCCCTGAAGCTACCTAAATCAGATATAGCTATCTTGAACCAGATTCTAGGATCTGAACTAGTCGCAATTCACCTCCACAGAAGAATTTGACGTGAGGATAGCTATTGTGATTACAGATTATGCTACCGATTCTCTAGAAACAGCGATATTTGGGGGTTTAGAATTTCGAAACGACAAACTTGCGTAAACCTTCTTTCCTTCATTTTAGGGTGCGATTGACCCTATGAATATAAATGATCGAGAGAGAACGAAAGAGAGAGAGAGAGAGAGAGAGAGAGAGAGAGAGAGAGAGAGAGATTAGGAGAGAGCTCGTGCTTTTTCGATATACCGCAAAGAAACGGAAAAGATTCAGCTAGCTTTCTATGAGATCATTGATAGAGAAGCGCTTGTAGAAAAGATATTCGGTTGGTTCAGCCGTGAAGTGACACTTTTTCTTATAGTCGAATAACCGCTATATCGTTAACTAGCCTTTAGTCAGTATGCTTATTCGTGCGATATTCACAGGAAGGTTACGACACATTCACATTTAGAAACAAGAGATATATCTAGACAATTATAAAACTACGATATCATATCGTGTCACTGCTTGGATTAATTAATATTCCTTTTTTGGGAACGCCATCACTGACCTTGTTTCTCTTTCTCTTGAGAAAGAGAGAGAGAGAGAGCGAGAGAGAGAGAGAGAGAGAGAGAAAAAGAGAGATGTTCTGATATCCTTAAAGCTAGCATTTTTTTCTTTACATCTATATAGCAGAGCTTCGCGCACGATTTTTAAATCAAGTTCACGTTGATGCTAGCTTAATTAATTAGCTCTCTCATTTGCACACAAAAAGGCAACGGATAATGGTGGAAATTTAAAGGGGTGAAGAATGGTCCTTTCAAGAGACTCAGCCTTTCGAAAATTAATTCGTTTATAACTCGAACGAACGTGAATTACCGTTCAAAAATATTTACACAGCCCAGAAATCGACCACTATCCTTTGACATTTGAACAATCCGATAGACGCGCATGAGCTTTCCCACCATACATTACGGGCGTTAACGATTCAAAAAGTTCGCGCCGTCAAGATTTCGTGGCGCCTCGTGAATTTTCAAATAAATTACAACATTTTTATTCGCGAGCGATTATCGTAGATTACCGTCTAATTTAATTATAAAGCTATGCGAATGATTGTTGTCTAAAATAACTATACAAATTCTCCCGAGCGCAGCAACATATTTAAAAAATATTTAAATAAGTTTAAATTAATTGTTAAGAAAAAGAGAAGGAGAGAAAAAAGGAAAATCGAATTTTAGAGCTTAAGAATTTGTTCTGTATTAATTATAAGAGCTCTACGATTCTTTTATAAAAAGAAAAAAGAAAGAAATTCTAAAAAGCTAAAGACTTGATTTTCTTTTCTAATTTAAATTCCTCAAAAACTGATGGTACAGTAAAATATATAAAAACGCAAAGGACTGCATAATGTTATCAATACTAATACTGCGAAGAACAATTGATGAAAAATTATATAGTCCGACTGAAATGCCACGTGAAACCACTGACGGCGGTATGAACAACAGATTCGTTTAAAACAGCTTACTAATTACATTAAACAACCACATGCAGATACAATTAATTAAAAGGTGTAATCTAAAGCTCTTCGTGATGTACAAAGGTATTCATTGGTGCTTTAATCCCGTGGAATTATTGTATGATTCGTGTTTTGCACGCAGCACGCAGTGAATTATATACCGTCTTGTCCTGGCCACACGCACACACACATTATACATACATATATACTATATGTATATAGGATATATATATGTGTGTGTATAATATATATACGAGATACAAATATAAATTATTTGCCTTATTTTAAAAATTTCTGGGATACGTGGTAAGAAGTAAACGCTTCTGTTTTGTAAATAGACCCCGTCATTTCATTACATACTATGCCTGACCCGTTATCTGAAAGATTCATTAAACTGTATCAGTATATGCTTTTCTGCAAGCATTTTTTTTTACCCCGGGTAGTCTATTTAAATCAACCTACTGATGTTCCTTTGAAACCGTTGACCATGAAACAAAATATTTCAGACTAAAGTGAAATAGTTTTACAAGGCACATAATTTGCCTTGGTATAATAATAGTACATAGTTGAAAAGCGTATGAGTATGAAAGTCCAGCATAGGTAATCATTGCTACTGCAAATGTCCTGCTTCGAAAATTCAAGTCAAATTAGGATACGGTGAAAAAAATACATTCTTGTTGCAAAAAGATCATTTTACTTACAAATACATTTCTTGTGAATTGAGCCCTTATACAACTAATCATGTGTTCAAATAGATCAAACTTCTTTTCACGCACGAGGAATTGGTCGCCGGTCGCCTTGCGGCTATCTAACTCGTACCTGACTTTTATCCCTAACTTATATGTACATTATTTATGAGCCCAAATTTTATATTAGCCTAGTTAAGCTACTTCAATGTGTGACCACCGTGTGGCGACCGACTATTTTGTGACTGTGTCACAGATACACACATATGGACAGAATACGCTAGTGCCGGATTCATACTTTTTTTTTTCACTCACATTTTCTGAATGGATAATTGCAGTAGTAGTTAATGACCACCCATGTTAGACTCCTCTACTCATACGTTTTCCAACGGTGTATCATATGACCTAATTAATAGTCGTGGTCCTAAATACTAAAGTGCATCCACCAGTGGTTCAAAGGAGTTTTTAATATAATTAAAAAGTACCGTGCCATTTTGAAATTGAAATATCTTTTGAATTGGTGGTTTTTGATTAAGAAGTAACTTAGTACTTTCTCAAGATAATCACAAGCTGCATCGACCAATGCACTAAAAAAATATACGATTCCATATAAGAAAAAAGAAAACTGTACACGCCCTGAAATCACACAACTTTTGTCTAACACATTTTTTGGTATCATCAATGGCTTCAAAGATATTCGAGTGGGTCCAGTTAAAGAGGTCACCCTGTAGTATTCTGTCTGTGTGTCTATGTACGTTCTTTAGTCACTAGTACGCATTTTAAGACGAACGTTTTATTAACCGCAGGATTGGAAAGATCGATGAATTAATCTAACCACCTTAAATCGTTAAATTAAAAATTACAAAACTCTTTGTAAGCAATTCATGTTTCCGAAAAATGTCGATAAATTACTGAGGTATATTTACAAATGGAGGCTAATTTATTTTGACGCTTGAGTGTGTAAGGAAATATCAAATTCTCTTTGATCAATTAATTTTCCATTGATAATGAAATTTCCTACTATTCCCGGTATTTGCTTACGCTAATTGTTGAATACCGCGCTTGTTGTGAAGTGTTTGGCTTAAAACCTAATATACAAGCTGTATGGCCTCATTATGGATTATGATTACTAATTATTGAATGCATTATTACTCCATTCTCAACAACGCGAATTATTTTAGACCCACTCGTCGATCGTAATATTCGCTATATACCCACTTTCACTGTTTGCATTCGCATAACTGTTCCTTTTTGTTAACGGAACCGACTCAGAGACATCATCGTGCGAACGTACAATAATTACATTTTTTAGATTTGCGTAATTATTTTTAGCAGGTTATTTACTAACCTGCTACTTATTAACTTCATTTTCTTGCCAAGTCATATTAGATATTAAACGTTATAAGTATATGTGATACTCTAGATTACAGCGTTAAATTTACAACTAGAATAAATATTAATTATTGATAGTTAAAGGTCGGTCCTTTCTCATACTTTCCCGAGATAATATTACGACTGTAGTACTTAGAAATCTATAGTCAGGATCGTTGGTACACAGACTAAAATTGTTCCATGTTGAAATTTTGTAATTTATGAATGCTTAATTGGTATTTATATTACTAACGATTTTGTAAACTTTTTCTTGAGCTGTGTCCCACTGTCTTAGAAACTATTACTTTTGCGATTTCACCAGTAGACGATTTTTGTAAATGTTCTGTGTTGGATACGAATTTGATTGTAAAATTACAATCTGACAGTGCTAATTAATACTAGCTCATGAATCAATAAAATTTTAATTAAGTCATAATTAAAGCTTGAAATAGCGAATATTAATTAACGCTTCAGTATACCAACGATCGTAACAAACATACATTAAACGATTTGTGGCGCACAGCATTCAGTACTTGTTTATACACTTCATTACCCTATCTATTTATTAGCTCTACGTTGTAATAGCGTTTAAGGCTCTTAATACAATTATTGTGTTCATTAAGATTATTGTTCTATTTAAATAGATCCCTCTCACCGCGCACAATTGTGATCAAAGAATCCGATCGAATAAAAATCTCGCCTTTAAAATTTATATATGATAATAAACATAACTGGTCTCTCTTCACTATACTCTGAATTTTTCCTGAATCATTCTTACATCTTAGGCATCATTCAAATCATTCCTGGCATTATTAATTAATCCCGACGTTAATTTCAAGACATGTTTTTCTTATCCGAGCGGATAATCTCGCCATAATTTCATGAATCTTCAAATAAATGTGTGATATGAATTAAGTGCCACCACAGTTCAAGCTGCATTATCAATGACAATGACTTCTGGGCTATATTCAGAAAATATTGTCAGTGAAACTAAAATTGTAAGAAATACACTACTTTGTCTTTAATTAATAAACTGCGGATATTTATACAAAATAAAATATTTCCTGTTAATTGTCATGCAATTATTTTAACAATTCTAATCAGTCGAAAATTTGTTCCTTTTGTAATAATACAAAAATTGTTAGAATATTTTACTCGTTTTTCAGTGTTTATATTGCACTCATAATAAAATCATAAAATCCGTAGTGTACTAATTAATTTTAATTAATTAACCCGTTGCAGACAGAATTTTGAATTACTATTCATTTGTTGAAATTCGTCTACAGTGGGTTAATCATTGCAATGACAAATTAGTGACACATTCTACACTAATAACGACGTTATTCCACCTTTTTTAATGATTCATGATTATGCGAAGAGACTCAAATATATTTCACCAATGTGGCACATTGTTCAACGCTTAAGACAATATATAACACTGTGTCCTTCAATTTGCCACATTTTTTCAATAAATTTCATTACAATAGATTACTACCTTATTTTGGCCATTGGCGTGGAGACAACAACAATTCCCAAATCTCCCTAATTAGCATAACACGTGACCAATTTTCGCAATCTTAGAATAAATACAATAGATGCGATAAATATATATGAAACCGTAAACCTAAAAACATGTTTTTTTTACAAGAAAAAAATGACACTTCTAAAAAACGGTTTATACAATCGTGAATTCTCGTTTTATATTTTCTGTTATCTTAAAAATTCCTTTTAAGAAAAATAAGCGTAATATGCACGGCAGCTGGTTTCCGTCTTTAATTGTCTGTCTAGCGAATTAGCCTAACAGTCGAGCTGCGTACGTCTTAGTCTAATTGGAAACATGATTAACTAAAAGCACCTCTTTTACTCCATAAAATATTAAAAGTGATTGGTCTGGTCCAAAACCCACAAAAATAAAAGAGAGTAAAAGAAAATTTGATATAAGGGGTTATATCATCTAGGTTTTGGGCAGACGTTGGTTCAGTTAAATGCAAAAATTGGTCACGTGTTGCGATCGTCTAGCGCTCAAGCAGTCTAGGAGATATTTGCACATGCAAGATATGACGATTAAACTATTTTATGATATACTTTGCATGTGTTTGTAAAAATTAAACGGAGAAAAGAGAAATTATGCAAAGTACATGACCCGTTTCGTGTTTGCGTGAACTGTGATAGCTCTTGCCATTGCACCCGGCGTTCTGTCTTCGCTGCAGCCTGATTGATGGGAACCTTCTCCACTGAAAACAAACAATAAATGTAAACCACACGATTTACAAAGTGTCTCAACTATCTTCATTACCTCAAATATCTCGCTTATTGGTAATAGAAAAATATGTCAGATGCAAATTGATATCTATAACTTGCTTCTGTTAGTGAGATATTTGAGGTGTTCCAATTAGTTGAGACGCCCTGTAGAAAGACAACTTTTGGAGCAGATAAAATGTTGCCTGTAAATCGAAATTAATTCGTATTAACTGAAAATAATACATTAAACTCACCTGTCGTGTTCCTTTTCTACCAAATGATATCTGGCTCGGAATGCTACAAGATGAGCATAATATGCTGGCGCAGGTATACTGACAGACCTTGTACACCTAACATACGTATGACACAATTGATACGTAAGAGATTGTAATTCATCACTTTCAAAATGGTTATCGTCCCAGAGAACATGGTAGTGTGACGGTCGTGATGTTCCCTATAATAAGAAGCACAAGTTTTAAAATACATATTGTCACTTGTTGATTCAGGAGAATCAATAGAATTGTTTCAATTGAATTCAAAACGTACCTGAATGCCCTGATGACTACACAAATAAAAGTCAAACTCAGTCGGATGAGTGATACAAATATCGACTGTTGTCCCCGCAGGTATGTTTCCACTTCTACCGCTCTGTTCTCTCTTCTCCGCACAGAACAGGCGGGTGTGGTGTCTCTTTTGTACTACGATAAACGTGACTCCAGGCTTATAATCATCTTCAAGTTTCATACAAGCCTCACGGATGGCAGTTAACTCGTGCTGCAGCACATGCAAAAACTGTCCCTCCGAAACACCATCTCGATACAGAATTATTCTATGGGGTTTATACCCTCCAGTGCTCTTGTAAAACCTAACAAGAAGCTCCCTGTAAAACAAAAGCACATATAAGCATTTACAAATGTGCATTTTACAAAACCACGGTTATGATCTCACTAATCGGAATTAAATAACTTCACTTACCTGACCATCGAACTGAGCTCTTGAATAATCTCCTGCCTGTGTTGCTGGACCCTTACGGTGGCTGCATATCGGGATGGATGTCCATCCATGCTGGCAACCACTGCAGCGATGCTGGGTTTCTTGTTGTCCCCAGCAGGAGGATGGGTTACATCAGCTCCAAAGAATATGACAGGCTCGTCAAAGACTTTCGGTCTGATTCCAGGCACCAGAATATTGTTAATACCACCCAGCTTGACATTAATCTTCAGACACAAGTTTGATAATGTCTGGGGTGATGTCTTGTTGACATTCTTTGCCTGCACACACTGCGTCGCCATGCCTAGCAGCGTGTCTCCCACCCTTTTTACCTCAGCTGTAAGTAAAATGCAATTTTGAAATACACAGACAGAGCTAAAGAAGTTGAAATTTCAAGTTAAAGTCAATTACCATATACTGGTGTCTTTCCAGGCAGTATGACACACACAAGCTGCAATGATGGGAATGTCATTTTCAGGTATTTGAACATGGGTTCTACCTGATCGGGTCCAGTGGCATATTTACAAAAGCAGGGCTGCCCAACGATCGGCATGCCAGCATCATTGCTTATTCTTTGCAGCTGCGCTATGAACATTCTCAACGCATCCTCGCGCACAGTTCTCTGCGGTGCGAAACAAGCAATTGCCCAGACTCTGATTTCGATGCCCGTGAAGAATTGCTTGCCGCGCATGTCCCACACACCTTGAATAGGCAAAGCTTGCTGTTTTGTCTTTAGCAGAAAAGAGAAATAAACATATATATATAAGCGCATACAGGTCACTAGGTGGCATATAGTGTCGTTTAGAGTAGAACAAATAAACAAGGTAGATGCACCAGTGTTTTGCACAGTCCATGCAGTCGCTGCTTCCTTTTCTCTCATTTAGAAGCAAAATAACAAATTTTAAAAAACTTGAACAGCTTCATGAGAATTACAAGAGTGAATGGAAGTTGAGATAATTGAGTGTATCCAATCGCTGCATGGAATGGACTGGCATCATCAGGGAGTAGCAGGTGATATTGGACTGTGAAAGTAATGCAAATTCTGTTGACCCTCGTCTAGCAAATACTGACTCCATTTGGATCTGTCCCGACAACTGTACTACACTATTGCCTGTCTGACTGAGCTCAAGGAAAACCGAGTTTCTGGCTTTCTAACAATAACACATTTGACAGTCATGCCTTTGATGATCAACGAGGTCAATAAGTGGAAAATTATAATATCTGAAATACATTGTCAAAAGATCACAGTAAATTGGAAATTAAATTTTCTTTATGTACTGTTACTATTCACTGAAGTTTTAGTTTGTTTCAGGGACAAATTGGGAATATATTTAAATCCTACATAGCCTATATAATTTGATTCAGGACGTGTTCAAACAAAATTATATTGTGCCGTCCGAGGGTTAACGAAAGTCATAACTTTTTTTCTAAATTTCTACTCTCAAGTCATATACTGTTTAATTTGTTGATAACTCGAGGAAGGTAAGTTTAAAAGTTCATTACATTAACAGCCCAAATATCAAAATCAACCAGGTCTAGAACCCATACATTCATTCGGTAACTATTTACTTTACTGATTTCTTCAAATGCATTTCAAATAGAAAAAGTTAAGGCCAAATGTATTATTGTTTTGGGAAAGATTGCAACGTGTGTTTTCATATTATCATATATTTCAAACAATTGTGATTTTTACTGTAAAAATGAAAAGAAATGCAAATTTTTTTAATTTCATTGCAGTTGGATTGAACCAAACATAGGAAAAGACGCTACTCATACTTTGATTCTTCTTAAAGATATTTTATGGCTTTTGTATACTTATCCACTCGATTATGGTATCTTGCAGACTTCTGCAAAAGCTCCACATATCAATCTCCAGAATAGATCATTACATGTCCATTCCTTGCATTAAGATATCTAGTCTTGACGTCTAAAGAAATGCTTCAAATTTTCTAATAATTAGTAAACAATTTTCTATATTATTTCCACAAGTTCACTATACGCATTTCTTGTATAATTAATTTCTACAAAGTCTCTATAAAATTAAATGCAAATTATCATTAAATGAGTATGTACATCTTTCGAAAAGATATGATAAATAGAAGCTGTATAATATAATCAATGAATTAATATCTTTCCATATTTTCAGAGATCAAGCAAAGTCTTTCCGAAGTAGGTTTCCTCCTGGATCAGTCGAACAAAATCACTGAATTTTTTACAGCAAATTTTTTTCAACAAAAATGCTAAATCTACTGAGACAATGATGAGGAGAATAGAGATCGAAGTTATGCAAACCAAATAATGAGTGATGATATATGGTGGGGTACAAAGAGAAACATATCCCTTCCAAAAATAATACACGAGCCTCTGGAAATGTGGGATTTGGCTAGACCTGACTGATTCAGTTGGAAGTCTCTCACCTGTCCACTGAGGGAACTTACGCGCCCTCCATACTGTAGCTTGGGCGGGGCTAAAATGCGTCCTCTGACTTCCACCATACTGTTGGATATCGTCAGACCGAATTCTTGTACATATGAATCGTTATTGAAGTCGGCCCTTTTCACCAAATTATTTATTTCTCGTTCGCGATCGGGGGCAGAACGGGCTGTCGCTTTAATCATAGTGGACGTCTGCATGTCGGTCAGTTTCTTGATGCAACGTTGTCCGGCAACAATGTTACAGACCTACGATAAATCATTTTTAAGCATTTCATATATGTATCACGTCCTATGTAAACAATATCGTGAAAAATGTATTTAACGCACCTCAAGTGGCAGGTACGTGTGCTTGTGTTCTTGTCCAACTTGTAGACAAGGGAGATGAGGATAGCGTAACTTTATCTTATACTTATCTAAGAAGTACTTTGCAACAGTGCACTCTACTGTCTGCCCATTTTCCAATTGTAGAGGGAATCTACAATTTTCAATATTAAAATGTATTCTGAGTAACAGTTACATCGGATCTATGCACACTTACGACTGCATTTGGGCAGGTTTGCGAGTGACATTGCACACTCTGTACTTCCGTCTCATCGATCCGCAGTGTGTAATCTCGATTTTGAGACCCTTGATCTCTTTTGTGAACTTGACTCGCTGAGAATCTGTGAGAGGCTTCTTTTGTTCGTTTATATCCCGAATATCTAGCACTTCACACATGAATTCTATGACCGGTTGTGCTTTGTAGAACGCAGTTGCAGATACTGTAATGCAAAAATATGTAACTTAATTAAAGACTGATTGAAAAAAAAGTATAAAATAATTCAAAGCAGTTGAAACACGAACCATCAATGTTCAACATCATTTTCCATTGTGATGGTCGAACAGACTGATGGAATCCAAACCAAACTTCTCTGCCTCCTCCCAATGGATGATAATATCCATCCGGCGTACTGAAAAATGATCTACCTACTGGAGTATACGTCATAGATGGTAAATGCCTCATTACAACATCTAAAGCAAGTATAGCATCATATGGAATTTGTCTTGTACGTCCTTCTAGAGCCTCTTCTAAAGCAAACAGCGAGACTTGAGCCAACCATTTTATAAACACTTTGAAAACTCTGTCTTTACCCTCACCGGGTAGTGTGACCTATAAAGACAATAATTAATAAGAAAACACATAAAAATAATATCGGTGTATTAATTTCTGTAAGAACTATAATTACCTCTAATTCTACTTTGTCATTACCAATAAGTATGGGATCTCTCGTATATAAATTATTTCTCCCATCAAACACAGGCTTGAGAGTCCCAAACAGTTTACTATTCGCATGAACCATTGTTTCTATAATTTCTCTATTAACTTTACGAGGACATTTATCAGGTTGGATATTAATATCATAATGATGTACATAACCACGTGGCATGGTAATTTGGAAGTGATTGGCCCTTAAGTTGATTGGTCTGCCTTCACGTCCTATATCTGGTCTCCGAGGACATGAAAACACTGTAAAATTAATGTTTCTAATTATATATAAGATAAGCCACATCACTGCAGAGTGCAGCATCCTTATCAGTTTAAATAAAGATTATCGGCATCGACAATCTAATACATTCATCGTGCCAATTTTTTACAAGTTACTCCAAATAAAGCAAAACCTTACTTGGCAGTTCAGGAGGTTGCGGAGGTGTGTGTGTCTGCTGTATGGGAACAAGTCCCAGCGAACTGGGAGCCACAACATTGTTCCCAGTGGCTTCGGGCCCACCTCCAACTGAAGTACTTGCTGAAGATCCAGGTGGAGGAGCTACAAACACAATGAAATGAAAATTATGATCAATAAATTGTTTGAATTTAATCTTTAATCAAGAATTTCAAGAAGAATTTTTTAAAAAAGTAGAGTGTAACAATTCAGCAATATTATATGAAAAAAGTATGGAAATGTAAAAAGAATGTAACCAAACTTGTCGATAATTTGAAGTAAATTTCGGATAAAACAAAAGTCATTTTACACAATCAAATGAGATAAAATTTCATTCTTAAAATTACAATTTAGATTAATTTTTATAATGAATAATAGGATTAAAGGAAAATGTTTTCAAGAAATTCAATATTATTTAAACAGTATAAGAAGAATTCAATTTCTTGAACAACGAAAATTACTTGTCAATATACAAACAGTCGAATCCATTTAAGTTATCCCAACATATACAGAAAATTAAGAAAGAAAATATGACAGTTGGTAAGCAACAACGATATAGGAGAAAAAATAATATATCGAATTTGTTACACTTAAAAAAAATCTAATTTACTATGGATTTGGAGCTTTTTGCCTACACAAATAAGCAAAGTACAATTTCTTAATGATACTAAAAATACATGAAAATTAGCTTATAAAAAATTGCTTCGGATGTTTTAGCGTTAGAGTCAGCTTTAATTTTCTAATATCTAGTTAATTTTAAATTACACGTTATCCATGTTCTGACGGATCAAACGTGACGAAACAGCGAGCCTACTAATCGAGAATCGTTCGAGACCTTCCCAATATTTCTTTTCAAATTTCCTATTTTCGATTGATTAAATGTACAAGTTATTAATAGGAGCATAATTGGAATGAATTTTCATTGCTCTACAGTAATCAAATAGGAACAAAGGGCCAGAACTACCTCAGATACTTTTTCTGGCTTAGACAAGTACACGAGAAAGCATTATGCGATACGTTTAGGTATCACGAGGGAAAATTGATGAATTATAATACTCACGCCGTCCTACAGGATGCATTTTTACTGTTGACGATGAAAAATACCAGATAACCACTAATAAATAAGTAAAAAATTTAACACAAAACCCACTGACCACACGACACACTGCAAACGAGACTATCTTCTGCAATGGCTGCTACCAGCTCGTCTCTGATTAGTCCTGGCACGACCAATCAGCGCGCGAACAATAAAACTGGCGTTAGTGATATTTGGCGTTGTTATCGAATATATGTTCTACAATTTTTCAGTTTTTAAAGAATATACATATTGCAAAATACAGAAATACATATATAAGATAACTCTCTATATTATGGATAGTAGGTGTTATATACTCTTTGAATTATGCGATAATCATATTTTAGTGATAGTCTCAATAAATTTCTACATTATCGACAATAGATGATTGTAACATAGATTTCATTATTTCGATCATTATTCTTTTGTAATTTTTCTTTAATTTAATAGCATGACTTAAAAATATTAAAATATAAAGTGCGGGATATTTTAATCGTAATACATTCTTCAACAAAAACACACAATTTTATTAATCGAATATCTCCTCATCCTCAACAAATTATATCTATTATGTCATATGTATAACTAAACGTTCACGTTTACGACTTCGACGTCGATTTTGTATTTATATTAAATGTTAGAACCGCAAAATACATATAAATATTCACTCAAGACATCCCTGGCAATTTGAAAATTAAACTCAATAAAACTTGTGCGCATACGCGCTCAAGTAGAGAATTCCTTTGCGATGTTCAGAGACCCACTTGCGTGCGCATGCGTAGCAAAAACAATTCAATAGTTACACCCCCATGAAAATGTTCTGTCTATAACTACAACACGCGATTGCGTGAAAGATTTCCGAAATGTCGTTGCCTTTTTCTGGTGTGCGTTCACGTTCGAAAGGAGTCATAAGTGCGATCGCGAAGCATTTAAGGAGTCTCACACTAAAACCGGTAAAATCAATTAGCGTAAAATTCGATGCCTTCAATCCCAATGCTCTGGAAACGAGGTTAGTTCATTCAAATTTATATTCGATCCAAAGAATCTTTCTCAAATGTAGACAACTAAATTTACATTTCGACGTTTTAATCGATGGTTACATAATTCACAATCTTTATGCTTGAAAAACGATCTCAACATATTCCAATCGCTTTAGAGAAAATTTACTGGATGGTATATCATCAGTTAGGTTAACAGAATATATTGTGTATCGAGGAGTGATACGTCAGTTCCTTTCGGGATCATGTTTTGAAATAATAATTTGCTTTCCGAGGGGTTTCGTTAGTATCCAATGACGTCAATACGATGCGCATGCGCAGTGTGGAAGTTTCAGTAGCCAGCAGACGATATGCACGTTCATATTTTTAGAAGCTTTTGAATCGTTTGAACCAGCATTGTTCATGGGTGGAGCCCTTTACGCGGCTTTATCTCCCCCTATATGTCGCATTGTGTTTGCATGGGACACATATAATTAACCATTAGATACTAAAATCAGAGAAGCTACGGGGCAATTCACGGAAAGTATAGTATTCGTTCATAGTCTTGTAATAACAAGGAGAAGAAATCGTTATATAGCATAAATTCATTCGTTGTGATATACGTGTAATTAATAAACAACTAAGAAAGGTACAGTCCACTTTTTATATTACGAAAATTAATTTTAAATTTCGAATCGATTTTTATAGGCTCCACATTTATTTTATAATTATTATTTTGAATAACTAAGCATAACACAGTCCCTTCAATTATATTTTATCTGTGTGTATTAGCTCAGTTCATTAATAAGATTCATTGCACTACCCTTGAAAATGTTTTTATCAATTTTATATTTAATTACAAATTTATATAATGATTACATGATTGTACTTTGCTTTTGCTCTTTTAAAAGCATACATTAATAATTGTGCTTGCACTAAAAATTATTAATTTTCTAAGAATCAATTTATAAAATGAACTTACCACTGGGTTGTCCAGTTCCGTAAGCTTTGCCCAGCATAGACACAGCTGTACTGATGCGCAGAGTACTTAAATCTGGCATCTGAAGTGGTAGTTGTTGTTCCATTTGCGCCATTTTGTCTGTAACAATAAAAGCAACAGCAAATACAGAAATCATTAAGTAATCTTTGAGTATGAGGAAAAATTGGTTTTCATAAATAGATTGTATAATGAATTAAGTATATTAACATATATGTTCTGAATTATGTTTGCAGAGACTTTTTCTTTCACATTACAACACCAAAGATCATTGCAACGAACCCACGTTGCATTGTGAAACCAGAAATAGTTTCAGATTTGTCTGACCCAGTAGTTACATTCAAGTTACGTGAGTATTACATTGTTTTCTTTATGAATAATTAGCTATTAAATATTTTTACACACAAAACTGATTTGAGAAAATTTCAATAACAAGGTATAGTAACAATTAAAAAGAGAGAAATAAAGAAAATAATTATTTTGTGTTAAGTAAGATCATTCAAAATTTATACAGATGGATTTTCTTTTTAAAAATTTACGTGTTTTTTCGTTTCTATCTTCCAGTATCAGGTGATAATGTGGTAGTCAAAAGTGCAAACTTGACGTCTCTGAATATTTTGGAACTTTACAACAAACACATCACACCACTATCACCAACTGCGCCTGAAACTGGAAGTGAAAATACAGCTAACATCGAGAAGAAAGCGAAGAAGCGAAAGAAAGGAATTAAAATTAAACGAGAATCCAAACGTAGAGGAGTATTTTTATAAGTTTATTGGCAACTTAACGACTCATGAGTTAATTGGCAAGCTAACAATTCGATTGAATATATAAATATAGATTGCAGAATAAAATATTAATTTGAAACTTTAGCTCGATTTTCATCTTTCCTCTTTATTCATAAAATACCAAAGAAAATCGATATTGTCAAGTTACATAAAAGACTTAGAAAGAGAATACAAACATTGAAAAGTGCATTCTAAATATAATAAAAGAGGCAAAAAAAACTTGACAGAGATATAAAATTATTTTTGTTGAGACTGAAGAACTGACATTTTTCTTTCACAATAAAATTTCATTCTTTGATTACTTTTTTTTTCCTTAATCCGCTAGTACAAAAGATTTGCCTATAAAATGGCTAGCTATACTACCAACAGTAAAAACTACAATATGAAACTTATAGACACTCTCTATAATCACGTTCCAGCATTTACAGATGTCTTTGATGAGGAAACATGGTATATTTTTGTTGCCTGCTTTGTAGCAGGCACATTTTTAGTCACATTCATTCTTTCAAGATTTATAACGTTAACACCTGTGGAATAACTATAAATTGTCTTTTCGGAAATGTATCTTTCATTCGTATAGATCAATCATTAATTACATTTAATAAATTATATTTATGTTGTACTAATATAATTACATAGATAATATGATAGATTTGTCTGCGCACGTCTTAATAACTTCAATGGAAAAATATCTATGTGAAAACCTTATAGGGATAGCTTCAGGTGCCTTAAGCACTTCATTGCACTGTTTTCAATGATAATTAATAATATAACTGTATATACCAAAATTATCTATACCATGAATATGAAGTCGTGCA